GGATCGTCGGTGATTGGTCGGATCCTTCGGTACGCGAATACGCGCTTACAGCGATACGCGTCATGGGACGGAACCCTTAAGGTGCCTTTTCATGCATCGCTAAATCGCTCAAATTTTAGCGACGAAACTCATCGATCGCTATTTTTTTTGGCGATTATGAAAATAGAATGCGCGATGAAAAGTAGCGATCAGTAGCGATTACGGACATTACGGTTGACATTACAATTCCTTTTGCTCCAAATCAGAATGTCCCTTACTGTCAAGTATAGCGAGTGGTACAATCGTACTATTAAATATATACAGGAATACCATGAGTGGCAAAGAAAATGTTTAATAATAAAGAAAAATCAAGAAGAGATTAGGAAGAAACGAATATTTAGCGCAGTATCTGCGGTTATGTCTGTAGATAGAAAAACATATAAAAAAAAAGATTTTGGAGGACTCCTGTTTGTGCAGAACGGGAATTGCATGGTTTTTATACTGCAATTCTTCCATCACTTCGATTGGAAAATATAGGTTTCCATAATTATTTTCGGATGTCAGCGACAAAATTGGAAGAGTTGTTACATTTAGTTCAACCTTATTTAAGCAAAGAATATTATATAAGACAACCAATTGCTGTGGAAGAAAAATTGATGTTGACCTTAAGGTATGTAATTAAGCGTTCTTGATGAAAATGTATTCCCTAATAATCTCAGATATTATACAGAAATGTATTGTTGGGGAAATATATGAGAGAATTTCTGCGAAAGTGTGTCAGAAAAGAATTTAGAAAGTGTGTCAGAAAAGCATCTGTAAATTATGAAATTTATGTGCAATTTGTGAGATAATTATGGGAAAAGTTGTCATCAGGTTGTATGTGTTATTTATTATAACATATAATTAATTTAAATAATTATTGTTACTGACATAGCTATTATTTACAAAATAATAATTCAAATGCTCTGTTTAGATATCTGGCTTCGGGCGACTCTATGACATCGATGCATTATCAATACCTAGTGGGATTGACAACTATAAGTATAATTATATCGGAAACCTGTGCTGTCTTATGGAAAACGCTTTGTCCTCTGGTTCTCTCATCAACTGTAAACACCGAAGAATGGCTACATATTGCTAAAACCTTCAGCGATACTTGGAATTTTCCTCATTGCATTGGGGCTATAGATGGAAAGCATGTGGTTATTCAAGTAAGATTCCTGTTAAACAAAATTGAATACATCCGGTTGATTTCATTATTTCATACAATGTAAACTAATATATCCTTTTTTTATTATAGTGTCCTAATAATTGTGAATCTATGTACTATAACTACAAAAATAGCCACAGTCTAGTATTATTAGCTATCTGTGATGCCGACTATGTATTCCAGTTTGTGGACATCGGTGCTTATGGGCGAAGAAGTGATGGAGGCATCTTTAAAGACTCCATAATGGGTACAAAGTTGGAAAATAAACAACTAAATGTTCCAGAAGCAGCACCTATTTCAGATGAAAGAGAAACTCCCTTGCCATATTGCATTGTTGGTGATGAGGCGTTTCCACTAACGACGTACTTGCTTCGTCCATATCCTGGGAAACAGAAAATTACACCACAGAAACGCATTTTCAATTACCGTTTAAGTCGCGCTAGACGAGTAATTGAAAATTGCTTTGGTATCTTGGTCAGCAAATGGCGTATTTTTCGTAAGCCAATAATAGCCAGTGTATCCACTACAACACATATAATACAAGCAGCTATAGTTCTTCATAATTGGCTGCGTAAAAATGATTTGAACAATTGTCCAAACCTTCCGTACGTTGAACCATACCTAGTTGACCAAGAATCTGAAATTGGATCTGCCATAAGTGGCACTTCGAGAGATGTAGCAGGAACGACGGCATTTTTTGACATTACTCGCGCAGGTACTAACACAAGCACTCGAACAGCAATGGAAGTACGAGAAGAATTTTGTGCCTACTTTAATAACGAAGGTGCTGTTACCTGGCAGAATGATTATGTGTGAATTGTATTAGTAATTAATAATTTCAAAACATGACAATAAGTTAAGTTATTAATAAGTTTTAATTTATTTCTTTATTCATTTAGAATTAGCGAGTTCAACAGTCAGAGGCAATTACCACTGATAATAGATACAAAGTTTATAAAAAACTAAAAGAATTAAATCTAATAAGGAACATAAAATATAGTATAATTGTAATATGATTGAACATTCTGTCTCTGGTTTACAAAATAATGATAAAATATTTGTTACATTATACGAAGTCAATATCAACTTGTACATTTCTTTTTTTCCTTACAATATACATATGGATATTTAACATGACATCACTTCTCGTGTTATCGTCGAGTGAACGTAATTCATTCCCAATCATGATCAAAAATGCCTCAACAGTATCCATAGGAGGTGGAGGCGGTGGAAGAACAGGTGGTGCAGGGAACTGTATAACTGGTTGTGGTGCACTTAGAGCGTCAGTTAATCTGTCGATTGCTTCTTCCTTAGTTCTACTTTTCTTCTGCTTCGATGCTTGTTCTTTTGGGGCTTCATTTTCATCATGGTCATCATTCGTATCTTCACAACTATCATTCATTGTAATATTCGACACGGTATTCTTCTCGACTAGATCTATCTCACGCATAAATCCCATTTGCTCATAGTATATCCATTTATTCTTTTTCTTTGTTGCAGATCCACTACGGATACTTTTCTCTTCTTTAACATATCTTCGATGGGTATCACAGATATTTTTCCACTTCTTCTTAGCTGATTCTACTGTATATTTTCCTTTCATTTCCTTATACACTTCCTTCCATAACAAAGATTTTATTTCTTTGCTCCTCTGTGCAATTGGCAATTTAATATTCCATAAAGGCTCACGAATCTCTATTGCTGAGATGAACATTTCATCTGAGGAATAATTATTTTTAGAATTGCTAACTTCAGTGTTAACAACCAATTCTTCTCCACCAACTGCACTTCTTGTGAGAATTGTACCATCATCTGTAACATTTTTTGTTTTCTTCATTATATTTATATATATTTATATACACTTGGATACAAATAATATATTCAAAAAAATAATGAACTACTTACCACACTGTGGATAAAAGTAAAAAGAACTGTCTAAATAATAGCCTTTGAATCCATCTAGGCATGGATGTGATAGAATATCGTCGCAAATAGTTTCACATAAACCACATGTGAAGACATGTACTAATTCCTAAACAACAGATTCGTAATTATTACTTAATGTAAATATCAATAGTAACGACTATCTTTAGGCATCTTATTTTAGAGGTTAAATAAACAAATGTTCTATAAACTAAATGCTATTTTTTTACGGTTATTTATGAGTTTACATTAATAAATGTCTACATTATATTACTCACCTCGTTTTCCTGCTCAGTTTGTTGATCTGCGTAATCGCTCATCATTTTGACAAAATTCAAATTGTAGCGATCATTGGCTATTGTCGCTACAACTTAAATAAATCGAACTACAGAAGCGACTGACAGCGACGACTTTCAAGCGACTGATGGAGTCGCGTGACTCTCCGATCGCTACAAAAGTTGCGACTAATCGCCGCCATGAAAAGGTACCTTTAGGGTGCAGTCCCATGGAGCGTATCGCGCGTATCGTGGATCGCGCGTATCGAAGGATCCGCTATAGATACGCCGCCGTTCCGCTGAATCCATTATTGTAGCGTAATACGCGCCGAATTTAAGTAAAATCGCTTGGTCTAAAGAAGTAGTGTCATATGGCAGCCCTCGAGATGTGATATGCGTAGAATCGCAAGATTGCGTCGAAAATTGTTGCATCGTTTTTTTGGAAAGCATTGCCGGTTTCGATTGTGCCTTATACGACTAGCTGCGTTTACCTCGTCAACGAGAACCTGAGTCATTTAAACTCAAAG